ATAATTCACGAAGGTTCGAGAAGGACGTGGCGTGATGCAAGTCACGTGACCTCGCTGACGCAACAGTATGTATATGCATGCGTGTGTTTTGTGTACGAGCCTGTCAGTTTACGTTCAGTCAGATAGACGAATACTTGATCCTTTCAAATTAAACTTTAGCAGAACAAATCAACTTATAAGACTAAACATGAGATTTAAATAACCACCCTTTTCACGACTAATAGATGGTATATAATAGATATAGAAATGAATTAACAATAAGTGTTTTACTTATAAAATTAAGAAATTGCAAAAGTATGTCATGCAAACTAGATATAGAAGTAAAAACTTTATATTTAATGAATTATTGAAGGGTTTTATACATAAAGGGACGAAGAACATATAATTGAATATAGACATTGATGATGTAATCACACGTTGAGACATGTTGAGAAAGCCTACGATGAGCTCATCATTCTATTGAACTACCTGTTTATAGAAACACCGTCCGCCCTAGAAGCATTATATATTATCGCCTATATATATATATATGTATATACACCTTGCCCAATCGAGACCTCGAACGTTCTACAAACTATAAGACGCTATAATGTAACAATACTCACATAACGAGAAAAACTATTGAACTACACACACAACATACAACTTTTACCGAGTTACATAACGAAATTTGTCATAACTATAACCTTTAAAATAATTAATTTTAACACTAATGTTATGGAAACTAAATAATTATTAAGTACTAAATCACTAAATGAACTAAATAATAACTCTTAAACTAAACAGCCTTGTATATCCAACACCGTTTATAGAACCATTAACCTTAGTAACACATTAATACCATCTGCCTATAGAGCCTTAGTAACACAATCACCTAGTAACATCATCCACGTTTGTAAAACACATATAATACTGTCGAAATCTGTATGCAATTCTACAGAAGTATGGTAACATTGCCCACCTATAGAAACACCATCAACCTTTTTAAAACACATGTAATACAGTTAAATATATAAATGAAACTACAAACATGTGTTGAGATGTGTTGAAATCTATATGCCATTCTATGAAAATATAGTAACATTATTCTCCTTGGTAACACACATGAAATGCAGATAATTATATAAATGAAAAAATATAGACATGTTGAGACAAGATGAAAACTGTATGCAGTTCTACGAAAGTATAGTAACAATTGTCTGCCTATAGAAACTCTGTATGCCTTTGTAAAAAGTACGTAATATATATAATAGAACACTATAAAGTTGATAAGATTAAAATAGGAGATTTAATGTTTTACTTTTAAAGTAAAACTGTAATTGTAAGCACAACGTTATGCAAATTAGATTAAATTATTAGTATAAGACTTTGATTGCTACTATGAAGTTAATGTCGTGTTGATCTATACCACTCTCTGGTGGTTCGCTCGCAAACTAGCAACGCGCCCTCTGGTGACATTTCGTGGCACTATGACTTCATCGTCTCTATTCCCTACCCCCTGAGACAGCTAACCAGCACATTGTGTCTGAACATCTGTGAGAGCTACTTACAATCCTTTATAGAAATATGATAATTGTTCTCATATATTTTTAGCATATTTTGCTCTTGTTTCAAGAACTTAATAACTCCGGTTTTGGTACTATTTAAAAGCAAAGATCAGCCAGTTTGAGGGTATATTTATATATATATATGTATAATATAATATAATATAGAAAATAACTTCAAAACTATTATCATATTAATTACATTAGTTGTTAATGGGCGATTAAAATCAGCACTGTAAAACAATAATGAATTTTAAAAAAATTAAGCCTTAAAATTATTTTGTACAGTCCATATTAATTTCCAGTCGTAACCTTAAAGTCATAACGGAAATTGTCTGTGGTGACAGCTCCCAAAAGCGTTGGATACATCCTCTCTATCAGACAAAATCCAAACGTAGATGAAAACTAGTTAGCAATCATGGAAAACTAGTTAAGGGTGCGGAGTTGAGTGCTTATAGTTGTATCCACAACGTTTCAACTCCTTCTGCCTTTCACTGTTTGCAGCCAATTGTGGGAAGGCAGTTACCCTTAAAATTTCTTCTAATACGAAAAGTAGAAATAAAGGAAAATATAACCACCCTAAAAGTATTTCTGCTAAAATTTCCTCCCAACCTCTAATAGTTTTTAGAGTAGAATAATAATATTAATAATAAAACCACCCTAAAAATTCTCCTATAAATTACTCTAGCATGATGACATAAAGGCTTCTAATAAAATTTAAAAGATCTTAAAACGAACTACTTACTTTACTTCAAAATTTCTTTGTTGTTCACAAGGACGACCGCTGAAAATAAATTAGGGGGGGGGGCAAATAACCCAAGTTTGAAAATATTATGAAATCGAGAAACAAATACCTTATAATTTTCGAATAACATAGAAGAATAATTTTACATATCTAGTAATTTTTTTATTTTTAAAAATCCAGGGGGGGAGGCAAGTGACTCTCTTGCCACTTCCTGCGGGCGCCCATGGTTGTTCATATTCCTCATATAAAATTATTCAAGTGTAGCACGGGATAACTAGAGACAAGCCCACTTACTTGAAATTAGTCTTTCCAGTCCCTGCTATATTGAATAAATTTTAATTAATCTTAACTATTTAAAGGTAGTTAAGTAACTCTAGTGACAAAAAAGGTATTTTTCTTATCGAAAATATATTTATTAGAAAATTTTCATATTTATTATAAAACAGAGTGAAAATTTTTCTTAATATATATATAGAGAGACATATATTATTGTTACGACAGCGGAAGTCACGTGACGCTAGTAACACGTCATGAGCTTCTAGAAAATTCATATCCCTTCGTGAAGCCTCGAGTGTTTACTAGATATGCGGTATTCTTGTATATAAGACGGCCAAGAAGTGACGGCAACGAATGGAATTGAATTGCAGACAGAGATAGAAACGACAATTGAGTCAAGCGCGTGAATCGTTCGTTCGTTGTGAATTATAGCGTTTGTTTAAGTTATAGCGTGACTGTGGAAATTAAGTGTATTGCGAAGTTGTATTGAGAAAGAATAAACTAGTTTTATTTAAGAAAGGACTTGTATCGCTAAAGTTTCTTCGGAAAGAATTTTTTACGGAATTTATACCGGAAATTAACAAACGACCACAGACGTATAATATCATAATAATAGTCACGTTTTACAACAATACACAAGACACTGTAAGTGTTAGGATCACCTGTCTTTCCTGTATTCACTTTATGTCATATTAATACACCACGTTTAACGACAATATATAAGACACATCTTATATAACATCATAACCAAAAGTATCCTTCAAAGTACTGTTGCGGCAGCGAGGTCACGTGACTAGTGTCACGCCACTTCTCTCGAACCTTCGTGAATTGTCCGGAGATTACTAGATATAGGGTAGTCTGATATATATAAGATGGTCAAAACGTGACGGTATCAATGTGTGTGTAGGTAGTGAGTAATTGATTTGCAGTCAGAGAGTATTGTTGAAGTTCGTTATAGCGTTTGTTTTAGCACGAATCTTGAAATCAAGTGTAACGTAAAGTTATATTCAGAAAGAATAAACCAGTTTTATTAAGTAAGGACTTGTGTCGCTAAAGTTTCGTCGGAACGAAGTTACGGAAAGTTAATTAACAAACGGAGATGTAACAGTACTTTGAAAAAGTCAATTGTGTTATACTCTTGGTTTCACTCAGAACCAAAGCTCTGAGCTACTTATACCGCCCACCGCGAAAGGTAATTGTTGAACATTTCAGTCATGCTAAGAGTCGCTCAACAATAACATACGGTAAACCTAAATTTTTGTTGTTTAATTTACGTCAAATGTGAATGATAGTGTGATTAATTCCTAACAAATTAGTGTAGAATATCCTGCTTGCAACATAAATTTTGGCATCAACATTATTCATGTCTTTTCTCCCGTCATTTCAAAAGTGAATGTTGAGCTTTGCCTGCGTGCGCAGTTTTTCAAACGTAGCTCGGTAAGCGGCCTTCGCAAACGGTAGGTAGACGAACGCTTTGATAGACACTTGCCCCCCCCCCAGTGCACAGCGGTATGTCTGCAGACTTACAACGACTAGAAACCGGGTTTCGATACCCGTGGTGGG